TCCTCTCTGCCCAGACCTGTTGGGCTGGGTTATATTTATCCAGCTGCTTGTCTTTGGAGAATCTCCACAATGTGAAAAATCCGATGTGCAGAGCAGGGAGTGTTCCTTCCACACACCTGGCAGGTCATACCCGGTGACTGTCACCACTGTAACGTGGGATGTGCCACACACACCCTGCAGCTCCACACGCTCCACAAACAACTAAAAGCAGGAGCAAGGTGGTTCCATCGTTAGGAGGCTGGACCAGAGATCCATGTGAAGTTTTCAGGTCAACCACAGGCTGCCAGGGTCCATCTCACAAGGACTTTTAGAGATCTAAACTAGTTTTTGTGAATGTAGGACTCTTGGTTCCACATGAGGAGCCCTGAGCACACAGATGCCAGTGCCTCCCCAACACCCAAAAGCTGCTTTGTTAGTGGACTGTGGCCTTCCTGACCTGCCAGGTCCTTCCATACCATCCCAGCGAGCAGGATGGATTGTGGGAGCCAGTGGGACTCTCCCAGGGCTGGGGGGGCTGTCTGGAGCAGGGACAGTGCAGGACACACAGACCAGGGTGCCAGTGCTCCCTCTGCTCTCCTGTGGGTCTGGGCAGCCTGAGCTTCACAGCACAGTCCATCAAACAGCCTTCTCCAGCATGACATTCCCATATGGAAACATGGAAACACCCAGCAGCCCTGACAGGCAGCGCTTTGCTGGCCTGGCAAGTGCAGAAGATAACATCGTGTGGTGCCCAGCTCATGTTTCTCCCTGACGCTTTATGTTACTGCCTGAGGCTGATGCCAGTCCAGCATTCCTGCCTGGCCCATCCCAGGGGGTCAGGATACACTCACGGACCCCTCACCCCAGCAGGACCCTCGGGAGGCATTTCCATCACATGTATCTCACCCCTGTCCAAGCCCCAGAGTCTCTGGGTGCAGAGACTCCCTTCACCAGGGCTGACAGGGAATTCGGAAGCCCTGTCACCCCAGGCAGATTTCTGTGGGATGACTGATGGAAACACAGACAAGGTCTGTTAGAACTGGCTTAGAGCATGCTTGGAAAAACTTGCTATTCCTCCCAGGTCACTTAGCTTAAGGGTTTTGGGGGTTTTGCCATATTTTAATTCTGTTCCAGCAAAAGTTGTAGTGTTTTGACCTGCACTTCCCTGCTGCTACAATCATTTCCTAATATTCTCTGATATCAACAAACCCAACCTCAGTCTTAAAGGTCTTGGACCCATCAAGAAAAACACTCACAGACACCAGATGCTGCTGTTACTGGCAGTGATGATAGTAATAATAGCCCTAAGAATCCCACCAGTATTTCACATTTTCAAGTTGTCCAATTTTTACCCAAATCCAGAATTTTTCATGTCCTTTTCACATCCTATAAGAACAAAAATGTCTGACCACAGAAGATAAGGGAGAACTATACCTCATAAAAATAAAGTACAACAATAGATTTGCCCAAAGAGGAGAAAGAGGTATTAGTTCTTCCCCTCCCAAAGAGCTTCCCCACCCTTGGAGAAGAGGGATCAGTGTCACAGTTCCCTCTTCAAAGAGACTCAGAGAAAGTCCAAACAATGCATGGCCGGCATCCATTTGCTATAAAAGCACAGAAGTAAATGCAGCACAGACAATGCCAGGCTCCTGTCATGGCTCCGTGTGCCTGCGGGAGGATATTTGACCTTCAAGGATAACACTGGCCGGAAAGTCAGGGAGTGAGGTTTCCTGTGCTTTAAAGTACAGGATGACTTCACTCACCTCCATGTCCTTCAGCACTGAGTTGTGCTGGCCTCCCTAAGTCACTCTGGGATCTCCTGGCCTGGGACAGATGGTAGTGCCAGGCTTTAGCCATGCAGTTGTACTTCCCTGCAGTCGCTCCAGTAGAAGCGACCAGAATGTGAGCCTGCCTTAGCTCCTGGAGTCCCTATCCCATTCCACACCGTGCAACACTTAGCTGCCTTGCCTGGTCACCCACACAAACACTGCCCTGCACCAGCAGAAGGGCAGGTGATGGTCTCGAAACTGGATGTGCTCAGGCTGAGTCAAAGACGACGCCGGCACAGCCGCACATCGCGCGGCAAAATCTGCCTCCCCCTTCCCACCCTGCACTCACCCTGCTGGGGAAGGAGGAGGGAGCAGCCACACCTGCTGGGAGATAACAGGGAGATTGGAACCCTCTAATCAGGGCAGGGAGAAGACAACATCTGGAAGAGGCTGCAGACTGTGAGAGCTCTTAAGGATGCTCCCTTGGGGAGAGGGAACCTGGGGAATGCCAGCCACTAGCCCACGGCTTCATGTGTCCCATCTTTGGCTCTGCCTGCACTGAAGGGGAAGTGCTCTCAGCCCCTCCTTCACCTTCCTCAAGCCCAGCTGTCTCTTGATTTAGCAAACTCATTATAAAGCCTCCAAGCCCTTAGAAACGGGCCCTTCCCCCTCCCAGTCTTCCAGCTCGGAGTCAATTAATATCAGGTAATTTACGCTGAATTAAAAGCTCTGGCACAGGGCTCTGGCCTGGTTTAACTCGGCCAGCACACACCACGCCCTCCCTAAGTATCACAGCCCGGGCATAGCCAGGCCCTGGGCACAGCGGGGAGAGCCGGGCAAAGGGCAAGGCACAAACCAGCAGGAATAAACAGAGAAAGGGAGCCCAGCACGATAAGGACATGCTGACTGGGCAGCTCCATACACAGCTTCTAGTTCCATGGCCTTTTTGGGACAAAGCACCCTGCAAGGGAGGACAGCCTTCCAGGTTAGCTTATCCTGCCTTCCTGTGGGAAGCCCAGCTTATCCCATCAGTACTTTATTGACCACCATGAGACGGAGAATTGTCTCAAGTGACCACCTCAGATGGAAAATTGCCTTTTAGGGCTGGTCCTGCTTCACTCACAAAGCTGAGCAGGACCCTCTGCCATTGCCACGTAGGGTTTGACCAGATGGGCCTCTCCAAGAGCAGATCCCAATTTTTCTCTTGAACAGAGCTTGGGAAGGAGAAGCAAAAACCAGGGTGATCTTGGCTGCATCCCTGGTTCCTCCCGTTGCTTCACAGCTGGGGCCTGGGACCAGCTCTGAGCTCTGAGCCAGACTCGGTGCCGCATTCCTGCTGGAGTAACCTGGATTTCAGGCCATTAAGGACATGGCCCTGGGGCAGTAAGTGAAAGGGAGCCAGAAATATGACATTAATATGCAGAAGCATTCCCATCTATCATCAGCTGTGGGACTCAAGTGATTGGGTGGTGCAGAGGAAACAGAGCAGAGCGGGGTTTTTAAGGGCCCAAGTTCCCTTTTCCAGGTACCGTATGCTAATGCACATGGAGATCTGGGAGATAGGAACAGTTTGAGGCCTGTAAAAGGAAACCAGTAGACAGCCATTAACAGAGGAAAAATTCACAGGTACCCAAGCTTGGGCACAGGGATGGGTTTTATTACACTCAGGGGGGTTGGCAGAACACCAAGTTTCTATTCTAAAGTGAATAAGAATTCAGACCCGTATATAAGTGTGTGTAGGGACTTCAGCATCAACCACAAGAGAGATGAAAAAGGAAGAATTTAAAGTACTAGCTCCAAAATGCACTTGGGAGTCACTTCTAGCAGTGCCTCGGTGCTGAGGAGGGTTACTGGGACAGCAAAGAGGTTGCAAGTTGTGAGGCTGAGCCCCAAATGTGCCGGGATTCTTCATATGCTCTGTGTGCAGCTTCACCTGGAGAGCTGCATCTCCATAAATACATCCCTCTGACAGGTCTGATAAGATCAGTGAGAAAACTGTCTCTGCCCTCACCTCAGGGTGAAACACATGGAGCAAAATACCACAAACAAGTGTTTCCAACACACGGAATAAAAACGGATATGTAAGGAATCCAGGGCAGGTCTGATGATGATACAACAAGCCCTGCAGCAGAGGGGAAATCCCAGGTGTCAGGGAGGGCTCCAAAGTATTCCCTGGGGATTACACACACTTCAGCCTAAATTCAGCAAAGACCAACCCTTGAGAGGAAGCTCCAGTGCCTGCCCACAGCTGTCAGGGCAGCCCCTGGCACATGCCAAGCACACTCAGAGGTCGCCTCGCAGTAAATCCCACGGGGGACATTGAGCAGCTTCTTCCCTCAAGCCAGCAATGAGTATTTTAAAGAAACCTTTGATTTCTGACAAACTTATCATGAGGTGAGTGGGGTCCAACCCAGACACAGAGGTGCCCCTGAGCTTCCCAAAAGTGAACTAAGAAACCTTTCAGACTTTGCCTTGGCTTCCCTTCAGCTCACACACTGGAGCAGAGGTGAAGATCTTGGATGCCAATACAAAGTATTTCCTGAGATTTTTTATACCTTGTTTTCCCCCTAACGCACCCTTGCAGTTCTGCTGCAATGCCTGGATCTCTCTCACATCTCCCACATTATTTATAATTCTCATCTGAACGAGGAAGAAAAAAATCTGAACTGAGCCTGTCTGCCCCTCACCAAGCACTCAGCCACCGCAGCCCCATTGCCTCCATCCTTGTGCTGCCAGTGGAGCAGCATTCACAATTATTCCACTTTTCTTTATGTGGACAATCCCCTCATAAAGATACTTTAACAGTTGGTGTAGACCTTAAAATTAACACATAACAAAAGCTAATGGCACTCTAGGCATGAAAAATGACTCAGGACACACAGCCACGAGCACACGGGCACAGGACAGATCAGGAAGGCAAAGGTCACCTCAGTCCCTGTTAAACCCTAGGCAGGGCAGCACTGCTGGGAAAGACGTGCTGGAATGCCACCGATTCGGGGTGTGCCTGCAAGGGATGGGCAAGAGGGAGAAGGGGAAATGGGTTTTGAGAAAGCATCCTGAGATGTGTCACCTCCAGCCCAGGTCAGAGCAGGGAGAGGTGTCTGGGAGCAGGAGGGAACACCCCCGTGCTCACCGACTGCTCCATCTGCTTGGAGACCCCAACTCGGAGCAGGAAGGGCAGGACGTACAGGGATAAATCATCTGACAGCCTGTTTTATAACCACTGACTCTGTCTCTTCTGTTTTGCTGCAGTTGCCCAGCCTGTGAAGCGACATGAGTCACAAGGGATCCCTCAGCAGCAACCCCAGCTCTTCCAAGTAAGGATCTCCATGGTGGGCTTCCTCCACCACTCCTTCCTACCATCAGGGGATGCTCCAAGTGCTCACACTCGTCCCCAAAGTCCCTGGTGTTTGTTTCACCCTTCCTGGGCACCTCAGAACCTGGCCCTGACTCACATATCACCTGCCCTGTGTGCTGTGGTTTGATAAGGCCATATCAAGTGCAGAGAGGAGAGGGACATCAGGAGCCTCTCCACCTTCAGTCTTGGGGCTACAGCAGCCCAGGGCAGCTTCCCAGTGGAGCCACAGCCACCAGGTCTCTCCCTCCTTCCTGCACGGTGTAAGAGCACCATGAATTGCTGCCTGCCCTCAGGGGGACACGGTAACAGAGCACCCACAGGCTACTGCTCTGTGCAGGACAGCCTGACCTCAGCACCTCAGATCCTGCTTGGATCCTCCTCTGCCAGAGGAAACCCCGTTATTTCCTGGCTGCTCAGTCCTACCCACAACCCAAGCACGGGGGTGGTCCTACATGGTCGTGTTTAGAGACCTGACACCCCAAAACTCAGTTGTTTGCACACAACTCCATCCTGCCACATTTTTATACAGGATATGTTCTATACCTGAGCACCTGCCTTCAAAGGGGCACATCTCCAACGGGTCCATTCAGAAGGGATCATAATCCTGGCTCTCACACTGCCTCAGGTTCAGGGGTACTCGGGTATAACATGGAGGGGTGTCAATCTACCTGGGTTGTTCCCTGTAACAACCCCCCTTATGGCTCACTGGGAACTGGGGTCCTTAAAGCAGCCCCTCTGGAGTGCTGTCCTTCCCAGGACACTGTGTGGAGGTAACTCTAGTGGGACAGGCCTGGCTGGGCTGCTCCATCTCCTGTTTCCAGTGCAGGGCTCAGTGACATGTGCCTGCGGTGTGGATAACAGGTAGGGTTGCATAGGGAGCAGCGGCACAGCCCACGAGGAAATGCTTTCCCTGGCGATTTGGCGATGTACCACATCCGATGGATGTGATGGGGAGGAAGGGAAGGGCTGGTCCCTCAGGGACAGCTGCAGAGCTGCTGTGTGAAAGCTGATGCTAAAAAGATCTGGGAGCTGCTGGTTGATTTGTTCCCTCCTCCTTTTGCAGCGGCAGCATGGGCAAAGCTGACGGAGCCTCCAAGCTGAGCGCAAAGGACCTGTACGGTGAGTCGTGTCCAACACATCCAAAGTTTCCTATAGCAAAGGCACCTCTGGAGAGCTGGACGGGCTGTTGGGGAGTTCTAGGCTGGAACTCAACCAAAGCCACATGAAGCCAGAGCTCCATGCACAACAGGCTGGCCTGACCTGGCGGCAAAAACACATCTTATGTCTGTGCCAACACCTCCCGCGCTGGGGACAGCTGGGATTTTGTGAGAACGGAACATTGCTTCCCCTCATCCAGATCCTCCCCAGCTCTGTTAGCAAGATCCCCTGATAAAGGATCTCACAAAAGAAAGACTGTCCTCAGCAGGTTAATGATTATCCTCTTCTAACTACTCCGTGAACCATGAAAACTGCAGTGCCCTTTGGCTCTTTGGAAGTGCAGGGAATGGGTAGGATGGGTGTTTGTGCACAGCCCAAGAGGCACCTTGTTCACAAAGCACCACAGAGAACACTTAGGTACCAAAACCAGTTAGTTTTGATCTGAGCGGCTCTTTCCATGTTCCCCAGGGGAAGATTTGGCCTGTGGGGTGGGCTGAACAAGCAGAAAGTCTTGTGAGAAATCACCTCCTTCAGTTATTCCCTGGATAAGAAGATGGGAGTTGTCTGAGGGAACACTCGCAGCTCTTGGGGAGTCTGAGCCTGCAAACTTTTCCTCCCGAGAGCCGTGGATTTACCTGGTTGATGTTTAATTGGGAATGAACACGCTGTGTGTGCTTCTCCTTGGAGATCTATTTGATCAGAAATCACTCTCAGCAGCTACAAGCTGCCAAGGTGGTTTGTTTGTCCCTAGGAAGTGACTTTGGTTGCCATAGAGTTTGGCTGGAGGTTTATGCAAGTGGAGTAGCCTGGAGCAGTGTCCCATGAGTGACTTATTTCACTGGGGAGAAGTGGGATGGCAGGGGCTGTACTCAGTGTTAAACAAAGCCATTGATAACTTCAATTAGCTGACAAGAAATGAAAGATGGGGATACAGGTAGAGCACAAACTTGGGCTGCCCTGGATGCTGCAGGATGTGCAGGTGCCAAATGGGGGTTTAACCATATCAGTCACTTCTGGAGATAGAAGGACACATGATAAAGAAGCACAAGGAGGAGGTGTGGCAATTTGGAGTGCACACAGGGCTGCTAGTTCAGACAAATTCCTCCTGCCTCCATGGGCATCATTCCTTCAGCTGTGCACTGAAACTCCAGCACATCCCATCGGGGCAGGACTGTGGTTTCCAGGTCAACAGGAGGTGTCGCCTTACACAGAGAGGTGTAAAAACAAACCCAGGAGCTGACAGTGGTGTTGGAGCCGTGCAGTTGTGCGGGTGGGCACCCATGGAGGCAGGGACCCAGGGCTACAAGCCAGCAGAGTTCCAGGGTGGTATCTAATGCTGAACCCAAGGCTCACGGTGCCATGGCACAGGGAGCACCCCAGGATGCCTCTGCCACGAAAACCAGCCAGGGGAAGGCTGACAGCCTGCCTTTAGAACAAACACTGCTCTCAAATAGGCACTTTTCAACACAGAATTCCATCTTTTACATTTTTTCGCATGAACACACCCCAAAAGCAAATTTCACCAGGGTTGGGACCTCTTTGACCAAATTCCAGCAAACCTTAAATGAGGACTGTACGTCCCTGGGCCAAATCTTCAAGAGGAGTAAAGCAGTTGCCTATTATTTCCCTGCCTCTGCTGGAGCACAGAACGAGCCCTGCAGGCGTTCCCTGCACAAATCCAAGACTGTTGGCCAGCTCAGCTCCTGGCACGAGCATATCCAGAGGGATTTTGCTTGGCAGCACTGGAAGCCCACCCGTTAATTCAGGAAAGGGCACTCAGCACGTGTAAACCAATATTTAAATGTCTTGGTCCCCTTCCCACTTGGATTCTCCCTCCCCCAGCATTAATTTCTGCTGTGAGCTGGCACATTTGGGGGTAGAGGGCAGGCAAGAACTAAAATTCCAGGGAGAATTATGTTGCATAATGAAACAAATCACACCAAGCCGAGCTGGCCTTCATTATGTGATTATAATGCTGCTTAGGGATGTTTGGAGCTGACAAGACTTTCCATATTCCCATTTTTCTCCAGTGCAATCAGGCTGGACCCTCAGTCTGTGTACACTGCCAGACCTCCAAGAAATGAGTGCAGTGTTTCCCAGATTGCCAGCACACAGGCATCCACTGCATGTAAAGCTTGGTGGGAAATGATCCCAGATGCTCCAAAGCATCTGGGATTTACAGACACACAGGTGTCTAAATATTATTTCCTGGTGAACAAGGCCTTGGGTTTAGCATTCCAAAGATGTTTTTCCTACAACACTACTGGCCTAACATGACAGGGGTGCCAACTGCAGGTACACAAGGTTACCTGAGGGAGGAGGTCCCCAGGATCAACAGGGGCTTACTGGGAATATTAAAGCCACTTCAGGTAAGACCCTGGAAAGGGATATTTAAAATCGTGGTGGTGAGGCTGGAGCAGAGCAGCAGCTCCAGGCTGTGCACAGAAAGGTAACTGGATGATGAGCGTGGGGATTGCCCTGGGGGCTCCAGGACACAGTGTGAAGGTCCTCATTGGACATGGGCTTGCAGCCCCGGTGTCACCCTGGGCCTGCTGAAATTGCCTTGATCACCAAGTCCATTGCCCACCACCATGTCTTCTTCACTGTGGTGAGCACAGAGGGATGGGCAGAGATAACCAAAAGGAATTCTGCAAAGAAATTGGCTTAAAGCCCCAAGATACCCTCCCCTGGCTCTATCCCTACCAGAGCTGGATACGCTTTGTAACTGGTCAGCCACCCTCAGTGGAGTTTCCCGACTCTCAGGGGAGCAGGACACTCATCCTTTTCTTCCCCCTTAGCACAACAGCATCCCGTTTGTTCAGCTCCACATTCTGGAAGGGTCTGTGGCTGCAGGAGCAATCCCTAGCTCAGCTGGCAGCAGGGGAATGGCTGGCACCTATCAAGTTGCCACCTTCCTCCCCACAGAGCCAGCGGCTGAATAAATGTTAATGCACCCCATAAATAATTCAGGCGGCTTCTCGGCTTACGGGGTGTCTGCTCAGCCTGGCTGAGAGCCTGGGGGGGAAACCAGTGTGGCTGGGGCAGAACCCCTGGGAGGGGCTGGCAGGAAGCATTTCTGCCCCAGCAGAGCTGCTGCCACTCCTCAGAGCGGGGTCTCAGGTGGGCTCCTGCAGGTGTGCCCTCAGCTGCTCCCAGGGACAGTGCTGGCCCTCCGGAGGGATCAGGATCAGCCAGGAGAAGCTGCTGAGCCCAGGGCAGTTTGACGTGGCAGTGATTTCTCAGGGGGCTGTGGGAAGCAGCAGCTTTTCTGTTTGGTTCCATCTGTCCCTGTGGTGCTCAGCTGCATCCCGGGCCAAGGCTGTGAGATGCAGCCCGCAGGGTACAGCCTGCCCACTCCACGCTCAGTACTCTCATCCCTGGGACAGGCCCGAACTCCACAGGGTGCAGGGCTGCAGGGGGGCTCTGGAGGCTGTGGGGCTGCGCAGGCGGAGCTGAGGCACCATCACTTGACACTGCACCCCCGTAACCCAAGCCAGGCCTCGGCACTGTAACAGGACACGGGGCACCAGCACAAAGAGAAGAGCCACTTCCTGCCCAGCCTGGCCCTGGAAGGGATCATCTCCCTGGGGAGCTGCGGGTAGAGAGGCTCCACGGGAGGCTGCCTGGCCCTGGCCAGGCAGAACACACTAGTGGAGAAGGAGTAATTATGTTCAGTGGTCATGAACTGACTCCTGAAGTCTCCACAGACCCCCTTGTCTCCCAACAGGGCCTGCACCGGAACGGTGCCACTCAGCATCATCCACCTTTCATCCCACTGGAGAGAAAGCCTGAGGTCCAGCAAAGATCCAGCCTCCTTGCCCAAGCCATTAATTCCTCATCTGCACTGCCAGCCCTGAATAAGTCCCTTGTCCTCCTGCACTGCTCCCTCAGGGCCATTTCAGCTCCTTTCTTCAGGTCCCTTTCCCACACGAGATTCCAGGTTCAGATTACCCGGCTCCCCTCCACGCTGCCGTGTGGGTGATCCCTTTATTCAAAGCCTTGGACATTTAATACTCCAACTGGAAACAGGGCTGGAAGAAAAATCAGAAGCCAACATTCCTGTTGGTTCCTGCAGGTCAAACCCCAGACGTGGGTAAGACAGGGAACATACTGGCTCAGCTGAGCCCTGACTGGAGCTACTGGGAGGAGCAGTCACTGCTCCGGGTGCTGCTGGCTGGCAATTTGGGATGGCAGAGTGACAGGGATGCTGTGGGGAGGGATCTGCCACCTCTGACACTGCTCAGCATCTCCAGTGAACCTCTTTTCTTTGCCAGTTCAAAACTGTTGAGCTCAAGGTCTTTCCTTGGATGGAGTAACTGCTCAGAGCTTACTCAGAGGAACATTTTCCTAGGTGGAAATGGCATTTTGGATGTGCTCAATTACCTTGGGAACAAAAGCTGTGGTACTCAATAACAACAAAAACAAACAACAAACAAACCCAAAGAAACCATCAACTTTTCATTATGATTTTTTTTGATCCCCAAGTAAAGCAAATTAATCTTTAACTAAATCAAGGTTCCCTCAATCTCATTTATTGTATTCTGACATTCAAAAAATGTCATTACCAGCTACGGGAAGTTCAGAAAACACCACTCTGGGTTGTTTGGTGAAGAATAATTTGGCAGATTTGTCCCAGCTCTGGTTGTAAAGGCAAGAAGGAACATCCCTCCCCATGAGCCTCCCCCACAGCTCCTCAATCCCCGCTGATCCTGCTCCGGGCAGCACAGCCGTGCTGGATACAAATACACAGTGTTCACACTGTTCCTCATGTGCTCAGTCCTTGCACAACCCGGGAGCAGGGTCAGCTTTGTGTTTGCCCTCCTGGAGTGGGCTGTGTCTTCAGCTAATAAAGCAGGAATGTGAGCACTAGGCCTGAGTTGTGCAAATAGGAAGCGTGTGGAGCAGGAATTCAGCCCTGTGGCACCTGGCTCCCTGTGCCACAGCCCATTCACACCCGGGAC